TATATATATATATATATATTACCACTTCTAAAAAATCTTTTCTTTTTTTGGACAAAAACAACTGAGACAAGGTTGCTATACTGTTATACCATCTCTTACAAGTCTTACTGTTACCCTTTCCCACAGGAAACCAAAATTCGTGAAGACCTAGGAAACCACAATCTTTTTTTCTTCAAAAAAATGCTCCTTCTTTTTTACTTTTTCTTTTCCTCTTTCGAAAGATGAGAGTGCAAGACTGGAATTTGTGCCAACACTTTTAACTAAATTAACCTAAATGCCTAAATACCTTATTGTTTTCTGTGTTACACTTGGCTAATATCATAAAGAATTCAGAACAAATTACTCTAAAAATATGGATTGTGAAAAGTAAAAGGAAACTTAACTTCGAATTATCATCAGCAAGCAAAATTAATTCAAAGAGAGGCAAAAGGCCATCACAGATTCACAGGATAAGCTCCTGAATCTTGTTTAAAGTCACTCATTAACTTTCGCTGAAGTTTTATAAATATTTTTCATTAAACACTCAATAATAATGATTATCTATCTACATATGTCAAAGCAATGCAAGTCAAAGGTTAAATGAAACTTGAAAAGAGTAATAGATCTATATTTTTTTATTTTAATATTATTTATTGATTTTGTAGTTAGATTTTATCGAAAAACTTGATTAATCAGTTATAGTAGAATTTTTTCTCACAATCATATTTTTTTTTATACACAAACTTCAAATTTAAGACCATATTTAAGAACACATATTTCAATACTACTCAAATCATCATCTTTTTCTTGTAAAAAAAACTTATACAAATTTCAAATGTCTAATTGTTTTGTGAAATACATGTTAACACTAATACGTTTGTGTCTTTAACTGGCAATAGTACATACTAATAGACCTTTAATATAAAAACTTTTTTTATGTTTGGTTATTTTGGTGATTGCAAATTGATTTGTCCAACTGGATTTCATGTTGGGATAATGGTGGAATGTATACTTTCTTCAATTAAAAATCCCACCCTATTTTATCTAAAAATTTGACATGCTCAAATAAAAGGTTTAAGGTTTGAAATTTGAACTGGAAGTAAAAAAATGTAACAAGAAAAGCATAATTGTTCCGACAATGACTGTACTTCATATTAGTTTTAAAAAAAATGAATTCCCTCCCATTTTAGCCAGTGAGGGCCACCCATGAGAAATCGTGACTCGCATGGCAAATTAATAAAATGGATGGTTTTATTTTATAGAACATGCATGCATGAAATTGATAGCAATAGAATTAATGCATCTTCTTATAGTATATTTTTAATAAAATTTTGAAGAATGTTTTAAAGTTTTTATACACATGTTTGAAAATATATGCAATGTATTAAATTCTGTTCGAATTTTTAATTTTCTTAATTTGTTTTTCATGACTGTCTCTTTTGTTAATTAGAAAAATAATATTTAATGTCGCCTATTTTCTAAAATAAAGGAGATAATAATAAATGTTCTCTTAAACTTTGAGAAGAAAAAAAACAGATGAATAAAAATCAAAATCAAAAGTGACAATTAAAAAGAGATAATAAATGATGTAAATATTAGATACTCTTTTATTTTTTAAGACATATAATGTATTTATTTTTATTTATTGAGCATCTAATCTAATAGCATTTAATATTTTAATATTTTTAAAATAAATATATTTAGTTATCTTAGTATCATAAAAAGTATTTAATTCCTCATTAAATAAATAGATAAATTTTGAAGTCATCTCCTTTCATATCATATCATGTGTTAACAACATACTTTTAAACATATTTATTTTTATTAATTAGAATTATTGAAAGTTATAAAATTGAAAAAATAATTATTAAATAGAATATGAGATTTATCAATTTTTTTATTTTTTAATAAATTTTAACCAATTAAAAAAATAATGTTAGTGCTGATAATATGTGCTATTCAGTCAAATTAAACCAAACCTGTTTCTTTCATTTCAGGCCCAAGTTGAGATGTGTTTTCTTTTTTTTAAAATAAGAAAAGCAATAACAGCATAATTTAGGTATATGTTTGAGTGTATACTGTATATGGGAAATTGATTGAAATACCCTGTATACCCTTGATGATGATGATGATGATCCAGTTTGAGTTTGGATTTAGGACATGGCATTACTTAGAAGCAAAGTGAGTAAAAGTGATCCGCAGCAATGACACCAAATCAGCTTTTGTCGCTCAGTAGCACAACTGACATTATTCTTCACCACCCACACCCGCTTCCTAAATTAATCTAGGATAACCACTCTCGTGCCTAAATATTCATTATTATCACCATTATTAAATATTTTAAGTACCCTCAACTTGGTTCACTAAGTAAAAGAAGGATAAATAGATTCCAAGTTTTTGTTCTAAATCCATATCCCGCGCCCACAAATATTTTCTAACTTCTTTTGCCTTTTGTCTTATTAAATTATCACTTAAATTTTGTCTCAAACTACACATTTAATTAAAGTATTACGTCTATTTTTTAAAGATAATATGGATTAAAAAATATAATTAATAGTTTGGTTTATATTAAAATTATTTTTAACTTTTGAATATGATATTATTATTATTTCTCACTTATGATAAATATATAAATTTTTAGTATTAAATGGATATTAAAAAGTATAATTAAAAAATAAGTATTTTTTAGTGAAATTTCAAAAAGAAAATTTGATAGTATGTAATAAATTAGGTTTGATTTATCAAAAAGTCTTCAATTCAAGTCTTGTATATAAAAAAAATATGATTGAAAAAGAAAATTCTATTAAAATTAATCACTCAAGTAAATTTTCAATAAATATTTTATATCAATAATATTTTTTTATCTATTAAAATTATAGTGTTAGTATCAAGATTTAAACTAAAAAAATTTGTACACACTACTTCAATTCCTCATTATTAGGTTGATCATATAATAGGTCTCTTTATACTAAAAATATGTTTCTCATAAAATTAGCTTGAATTTTTAAATGTATGAATAAGTAAAAGAAACTAAAAAAAAATACTTGATAAATTTATAGTATATTAATAGTCTGACGTTTCTTGGTAAATTAATGCTCCCTTCACTCATTTCGTGCCCATAAATATTAATATTAATGAATTACCTCCAAATAGTCTTTAAACTTTTTAGCCAATCCTAGCCGCGCCCACCAGCACAGCAACGCTAATTCATTTAATATATAGATTTATGATAACATTAATAAGAACAGTTGCGATTTTGTAAGGTAAAATATCATCAATGTTCCGTTTAAAGAAAAATATTTAGTGCATTGTACCATACCGTCTCGTGAGTGAAATGAGCATTCTTCAAGAGGTGGTTGATTGATTTGTTAAATAGGTGACAATAAGTTTCGGTTAGTTTTTAATAGGAGTATAAACGGGTACAGCTAATTCCTGAATTTGAATTAATTTAATAGGTTTTGATTGAATTTTTTAATATTTGATTCAGACAGATAATGAATTTTACATTTTTAACTTGTTATTAATCGGACTAGATCCAACCCAGTCATATTATTATTATTATTATTAAATAATCATTTGTATAGGATAATGCTTGCTGTCACTCTGACTTAATAATAATTTTTATATTTTAGATTAATAGTATTATAATAATATAATATATTTATTTTAAATTTTATTTTGTATTAATTAATGTTGATTTTTTTAGTTGATAATAATGTAACAAATTAATAAATTTATTTTATAATTTAATTTACATTATTATTTGTTTTATAAGTTGACAACATAAAATTTATAATAATATATCAAATGATTTAAATTTTATTTTAAAATATTTAAATTTTTACAAAAAAATAAATATATATAATTATGCTAACATGATTAACCCAACACATTGGTTGGATTGAATTGTATTTTAAACAAAATTGTACAAATCCAACTCAACCCAACCCATTAAATTTTGAGTGGGTTAGGTAACGAGTTTATCTAAATCTGGTCCAACCCAAATTTCAGAACCAAATTAAAATTAACCCAAATTTTGGTCATTAAAAGTATCAATGTATTTAGAGAAAAAAAATATTCACTTTATGGACTGTTTAGCATTTAAAAACTTATTTGACATTTTATTAACTTCATGCAGTAATACTCTCAAATTCCAGAACCAAGATAACTGTACATTTTTTTTATTTCATTTTTTTAACAATCAATTTCTTTACTTTATCTTAAAATATAAAAAATGAATGTTTTTCTTTTTATTCATGAAAATAGAACCTAGCACTAATGAATTCATGATACTCCCAATTGTTTAGCCAAATGAGCTAATTCCTGACAAATGATGAAAGTTTAAAGTTATGTCATGTGACATCGAGATTTTATCTTCCTCTATCAAATGATGAAAGTTTAAACTTATAAAGTTATGTGATGTTATATGTCATCGAGATTTTATTTTACTTTATCAAATCAAATTGTTATAGATTAAGGAGACATTTTTTTAAAGAGTTAATCATTTATATATTTTTAATATAAAAAAAAATTATACTGATAATTAATTATATCTTTTAATTATATTATATCATTATTAAAAATAAATGTATTTATAGTGACATGATATAATTAAAAGATATAATTTGTTATTGATGTAAAAAAATTTACTTTACATTAACAGTGTACATGTGATTAAATCTTTTTTAAGTATACTCATAAATCTTTGTCTATGTTGACAAAACATGGATTTGCGTGTTATTATTTTTATTTATCATAAAATATTTGTCATTTTGGAAAATATTTTTTTAGAAGAGTCTTGTTTATTAGTATCTAACCTAAATTCTTGGATAAATTCACAAATGCATTAGTTCTATCTTTTTAACGAGGGTAGTTTTATCAAAGAACATTATTAGATTATAATAATTTATGTGATTAATGTTTTCATTAAAAAAAAATACGTTACTTGAAATGATAAAAAAAAAATACTTCAAATGCATGTATTAATTATCTTTCTCTTAACAGTAATATTTTAGTTTCAGTAAAAAAAGAAAAAACAGTAATATTTTACTTTGTGCATTATGTAAAACATTTTTTAAATTTATATATAACTAAAATTAATTAAAAAAAATAAATATATTTGAAGATATAAACTGTGGGCTTTGTTAATTTATGTTTAATCATTTTTTTTAAAGGAATATGTTGACAAATTACACCTTAAGTTTATTTTATGGAAATTATAGTTACAAGTCATCAGCATAATATCCTATAAAAAAAATGTGAATGTATATTAGAAAATTTTACAAGCATTTGTTGACTTATACTTACTTTAAAAAAAAAACATATGTTAAGATAATCATAGTTATGTTTTGTTAATCTGCTTATTCTAAAAGAAAGAGAGTAGTTTAGCAAATTCTATAAATTATAGAGTAAATAGTGTATGGATTAAATGGTGTATTTATTTATATCTATTATAAAGGGATATGTTTTGTTAATCATCTTTTTAGTCTTTACTTTTTAGTGGATTATTATACTTTTTGGTTATGTAAAAAGAAATTATATATTTTTAAATACTATTTGTAAGTTTTAATATTTGTTTGTGTGTAATTATTTGAGATACGAAGTACCTCGATCTCTATAGTTATGATAAATAATTTATATTATGATATAAATTTTTTAAATTACTGATAATTTATTTTAAAAAAATTATTAAAATTCAAATTAGAAATAAAAATAAAACGATAAATTAAAAGAGATAAAATATTTTTAAAAAATCTACAAAAACATTATCATTGAAGAAAAACATCAAAAACATTTTTGCCGAAGACTGAACTCTAATAAGTAATAACACTCATGTTGAATACATTTATTCACTTATTTGATTTATATACAGAAAGGAATTATCAATATTATTACAACTTTTTCACTAAAAATTTTAAGTAGGTAATTTTGATATAAAAGATTAATTTGAAAATGGATTAATTTATATTTGGTTAAATTGTAATTTTGTTTCCCTTATAATATCAAAGATGCAATTTTAGTCCCATAATTTTTATTTTGTAATTTTATTTTTTAAATTTTGTAAAATTCATAATTTTAATTTAACTATCAAATATCGTTAAAATTATAATGTGAAATATATGATATAGTAGTTAATATTTAATAATACTTTGATAAAAATACATTTTAATTTTAATTTTTTAATCTAAATATTAGCTGCTTTAGTTAATGAGAATGTCATTTTTTAAATGTGACTTCATTATCAATGTTACAATTTTAAATATTTAATGATTAGATGAAAATTATATATTTAACAAAATTGTAAGATTAAAATTATAAAATTAAATATGAAAAGACTAAAATAGTAGATTAAATATTATAGAAGAAGCAATTTTGGTTATTGAAAAAACAATTTTCATGTACTAATGCAGTGTGGTAGTATGGTCTTGTTGGTGTGAGTTTTGAGTTTCACATAAAAGGAAAAGGTGAGAAAGAAACCCAAAATACGGAACTCTGTGAAGTTTCCAATGAAGGGCGTTTTCCGGAGAAGTGAACACCAAGAAAGAGTGAGCAAGTCAGAGATGCTGGATTATCATAAAGGACACCTTTTTACTACCATTTAAGGAACCTCACACCATACTACCAAGTACCAATCCTTTTTTTTTAATTTATAAAAAAAATAATTATCAATCCTACACTATTATATTAATTATATGATCTATAAAATATTTTAAAATCAATATATGCTCCTGACATATATATTAACTATTTAGTTTAAAAATATATTACATTTTTTCCTTTTTAAAATATACAAATACAAATATTATATATATTATCATTCTTTGATATGTTAAAATATATGCTGTTGTTAATTAATTTAATTTAATGTTATTAAAGTAAATTATCTATATTTTTTAAAATGCAGATATTCTTTTCTTTATATTAAAATATAGAATATAATATGCTTTTTTCTCTCTCTCTCTTTCTCTTCTATTATCTTACATTATATAATTTAGACTATTTTTTAATAATACAAAAGAATATTTATTATAAAATTTTTAAATGCATTATGGTTGGAATATACATTAAAATATTTTTAATCTGCTAAGTTATTATTCATTCACTCCATAAGTATTTTCAAAATATTTTTTTATTCAGTGGAATAAGCAGCAACAAACTCACCTAAAGTCATCCTTAAACAGGAGGGAACTATAAGTTAAAGTTATTATTAAATTATATATATATAATTTACTCTTTAATTATCATACTGTTATTTAACGTATAGTTAACAGTTAGTCCACATTTACAAAATTAAAATAGTGGTAAGATAATTTTTTAAAATAAAAATTGAGACAAAATTTGTGAATTAAAATAATATAAAACCAAAAATATAATTAAGCAAACAAAGACGAAAAAAACAAATATAAGCGTGACATTGTTATTAAGACACAACATATCCAGTAGGTTTTTCACAGTCATTTTAAATGGACCCGAAAAAACAAAAGGATCCAGTGGCAGTAATTTTGCTAAACAAATCCCATGAACATTGGAAAACTCGGATTTCTACAAAACTGTTAATGTAACAATTTGGGCCTCATTCAAATCAGGAGTTGGAGGAATTTGGGCCATATCGTTTCTGTACTAAGCCGGGAACCGATATTTTCGATCTCACCCATTTTTTTTTTAATAATTTCATTACCATTTTATTTGTTTGTATTTTTTCCTTTTCAAAATAACTTCTTAGAAAATTGTGTTATGTTGTGTGATACATATTTCTATTTATAAGGGGGTGAGGGCATATAATACATAATTCATTGTATACCAAAATTAGATACAATCTGCTATTTTTTTATAGTATTAATAAGATTTAATGCGCTTTTAATCTTTTGAGTGTCACAGATTAATAAATATAAATTTATTATAATGATATATATTAGAAAAAAGTTAATTAACAATATATATAAATTATAT